TCAAGTGACCATTCATTGTGTGCGGTCTAGCTCACGAGTTGTGTGCTTGAGTAATCTCTACTGGCCACTTTTCCATGCAGTTTACCTTACTGCATACTGATGTATAACGTTGTTTTATCTTAAGTACATCACAGCTGTACCCATGAGTTTGCCGCTAGATCTCTGGAAGAACGCTAGAAATTCACCTCGTTCGTTGATGATCCATCAAATTTGCGTCTTCCACTTGTGCAGTGGTTGTGCAACACAGTCTACGATACCCGCAGCATGTAGACATGACTTGGTTTTCCGATGCGGTATCAGGTAAAACTTGTGAAATCACACGCAACTACAAGGTGGGCAGCATTGAAGCAGTGCAAGGGGACATTGTTTCGGAGTCCATCTTTGTCCTTTTCATATTCTCGCAGTGTTAACATTGGAATGAGTGAACCTTTTACTACAATTTGTTACCCACTCTTGTCAGCCGTATCTTCTCAGTGGCCCAGTGGTTTCACTCACCGTGTCATCAGAAGTGGTTTGCCCCTTACATCTGGTCAACCGTTTAAGAGGATGTATAACACCGATGGGGGAATGGAGGATTTTTGGTTCACTTCTTCGGTGGAGACTCGTCACGGCCACACTCAGTCAGACAGCCACTTCGCAACTGGAAATGTCCTGCACGGCTGGTTCGTTCGCTCGGGAATCGTCAGCAGAACACATGCTATGCGTCTCCTGTGGGACTAGAACTCGGAGCCCTGTGGCTAAAACCGCTGGGTCACAGGAGATGAGTGTCAGCCGCCATGACTAAGTGATCAGCGGTGATTTAGCACGATACTCACCCTCCACTGTCATGCACACCGTGCAGATGGCAGGGTTGCTCATTTGAGCCGCGACTTCCCTCGCTGAGATACCGTCGTCTGCTGGCATTATAAGCCACGTTGGGCAGTGACTGCATTACATAGTGCAATGACAGGAAGTCAAATCAAGTCAGTATAGATTTTATGCACTCAAATGGACACATTTTCAGTATTTTACACTAACAACTATAACTATTACTAGATGCGCCCCATCAATAATGGTAAAGTTTACAAATGGGTGGAAAAATGAGAAGGGTGTAGTCATAACGCGCTCAAGTAGTGATCGCATAACGCTTCACTATATCTTCCGCATTTGCGTCCATTGAAAAGCGCAAATTTCTGTTAAAACATTTTCATAACTCGTTACATTTGATATAAAATAGTGTGCCCACAGATGATAGCTCAGGGACTGTGCGCGATATATCATACTGTACGTAAACGGACGACACCTGCGTTGGACACTTAGACGCAACCTCTGCATTTGGTATGAAGAGATTGCCCTGCGTTTGTTCCAACACCGGTGCTTGAGTGCGCCTCACTCACCTATTGTCCGATAACAATAGGTGAGATGCAGAGACTGGAACGGGTCCAGCATGTAACTATCCGGCTCATCCCCAGTTTACGGGATATGTCATTCTAGGACCGGTGTAGAGGATTAGAGCTGTTTACCGTATCATATTGTTAGCTTCGAGTTGCTCTCATAATGACGCAACGGATATTGCACCTGGGCCACTTCCCCATCTTGAGGTCGCTGCTGCACGTTCGCGCACCAAGCAGAATACGCGAACACCGGTACAACCTAGTGGTACCGGATTTAAAGCGCTTCACTCACCATCTACGCTTGGAGCGCCGAGTGATGAAATATTGGAACAAGTTTCCGGAAACAATAGTCGAGGCGAAATCGGTGTCGGAATTCAAGAAATTCCTCGACGCCCACTTTTCGGAGCATAACGCACCCGAATAAGATGTAGTGCAATTGCGATCTTCTGCCACCGCGCAGGATCAACGACGTGATTCCGCACACGTACCCGGCCTAACTCCGATGAGACAACGCAGCTTTCCATATTCTTGCTCTCTGTTCTCAGTATCCAGTATTTAGTTTATATTCAAAAGGCGAATGGAGTAGCTTAGTCTCAGTGACCTTGAACGTTGACTTAAGATAGTGTCTGCCAGCTATTCTTGCACAAATAATGTACTGGAACCTTCGCATGTTTACCACCCAAAGGACTGGACCAAAGTGGTCAAAGTAAGTGGTGATCAACTTTCGGAGGTTCTATGCCAACATTTAGGGTAACCTACTTCCCCGTTGTGAGTAGTATAGTATTAACTTGTTTTCACATAAAGTCGTTTCGAACATATTAGGCAAGGTCCCAGGTAACTGTAAGCGCAGTCCAACCAGTGTTATAATAAATCAAAACGTAGAGTGCATTTCGCAGGTTCAATCATTTTGGTGGAAAAACTCGTGCTTTGTCTTTTTCTTTTCACAAAGCTAACTGAAAAAACGCTCTCAGCACAACTTAAACTACTCAGTATGTTTTGAGGTCTTCCCATTGGGCCATAATTCTTTTATGCGCATAATAACCGAGCACGAATTGTTCAAAACACGTAGTGGATCCAAGATATAATGTGCTGTTTACAGATATTTAATTATATGCAACCACAAACCTAACTCGTTTGCACTCTCAGGCAGACGATAAATGGCGCGGAATAGCATTTGACGATCAGTGGCATTAACCTCAATGTTACTATGATCCAAGAAACAAATGAGCAGGTGTTAAACGAGTTAGCTTAGAACCGGTTAATTAAAGAACATATGTTTTCCGCAAAGACATGTATGGCTCGAGAAATGAGCAGTACCGACATTGCCAAGGTGGGACTAATACCCAAACATAATGTTAAGCAAATGGCTTAATAAAGGCTAGGTGAACTCGGACAGAGGTCGCCTTCCCAGTACGTGTCAGTGTTTGCGTTGTTATTGTGCTTGTGTTTGGTAGACTGCACCACGCATATAAGCCTAATACACCCGTATGGTTCCTCGGACGATGGAAATGCACATATCAGAAATATCCAAGGCCAGGAGTCCAATGGTTACAGGCGTTTTACTGAAGCGAGCTGGATATATCCTCTATTGTTTAAGTTGAGCGGATAATGTACAATAGAGTAGATTTCCGGGAGTGCAGTTTGTGTGTAGTTTTCTGATGTCCGCTGCGTTATCACCGGAGGTCGTATGTAGCAATTTTGTTTTGATGACAATGGGCCATCCGGTGTGAGTCGCAGACAGCAATATCCATCACGTAGATAGTGGCGTCCCGGCAGATGAATACTTCTGGATTGATGTAAATCGTTTGTGTAAGGATGCGCGGTTCAGGGATGATTGTAGCTACCCGACGGTGTAGAACCCTTGCAACTTGATAGGCAGTGTCACTGTGCGGTTTGCAGTGGGCATCATGGGTTACGCAGCAAGAGCTTAATTTGTGTTGCCCACATGTACCGCGGCAGTTGCGATCGCATAGAGAACGCGATGGTCTGCCTCTGGCGCGTCTGACTTTTGTAGGAAGGACACCTGCGCAGGTTGCCGGAGCCATGGATGAGCAATTGGATGCGTTAAAGCTTGAAGTATGGGGGATTCGTCAAGCGTAGTAAGTAACTGAAAATCTGTTAACCAATAGAGGTGGTCAACTACTAATATGATCTACTTGTCAGGTTCTACTGTGTCTACGGAAGATAATGTAGCGACCATAAGGCAATGGCGAAAAGGCAACGGCCGATTTAAAGGCCCCGCCATTCTGAAGCACTTAGATTATGATTTCCGAAGGTTTCTCACTCCATATTGAATAAGCTTCCCTTCTATCGTCTCTTGATGGTTTCTGGATGCTTCATCGATTTAAGCATGTTGAATCCCGCCCAAACCTTTTAGCCGAGCTCAATACTCCTAGTACCGTATTTTGTCATAACTAAGCCAATGTTTGTAGAAATCAGTCATGCAAATATCCTTCCGCTTACGAATGTAACTTGGCAATCGAACTGTAAAACCCATTCGTACGCCCATGCTATCAACTTCGGTGTGCTTTGTGGCTCGCTGTCACTTTCACGCAGGGGCGTGTGCTCGTAATGAACCTTTAACCGGCACATAGTCATGTCTGCCTCTGGGTACACCTCTTGTAACGTTTTCTCAGTCAGATGGACAGTGTGTATCACAATGTCAACCGAATGAGTATCTGAACGTAGATCGTCGGATCTGCTCTACCTGCTCATCCGCCTGCCATCCGAGACAGTTGACACGACAACCGGTTTGCACTGGTCCGGGGACTCATCCAGGCCAAGGCGGATGCAACAAATGCGAGATGGTTTTGTTACAGAGCTCGACGGTGAGCGCTGTCAATTCATTGGGTGAGTGTACGCGGCCCGTTTTTATGTCACTTCTTCAAGCACACATACCCAATCATATGCTTAGGTTAATGACCACGTTTGGTGTATAAATCATCAGTTATTCACTAAGGGTTATCTGTGCATGTCTGCTAAAGACGCGTGGTACAACGGAGTGTTAAATCCGGTCTATTTCTCAAGGGAAGTAAGTCCAAACAGACAACATCGGCGTTGTACTTTGCGGTGTTGAATACTACTGAATGTCACACACTATCGAATAGTGGATGACCGCGCAGCTTGGCACTGAGTTGATGCTTAGAGAATTCGTTTACTCGAACGTTTTGATTTAGCCATGACATATGCATTAGTTTGCAAGCAGATTATCCAGCTCTGCAAACACCGTAACAACTGGACACCTAACCCGAGCTACCAGTATTTCGTTTGATGTTCAACATGTACATTAGCCTGGTGTATAAGTTGGCCATTCAATCTGCTACAACTTAGCCTGTCTTGCCTCACTGTCTATTTGCGAAGGGTGCAGTTGACCCTGGAACAGCGGCTTCCCGGATTTAGGAACTTATTTAACCCATAACACTGTAAGGCCTAATTTCGTGGCACAATTGTTGCATTCGAATGGTTTCAAGGGTATGCCTAGACCTCACCGTACAAGCTAACTTTCCCACAAGGCTCAGAAAGATATGATGGCAGGTACAGGTTTTTTCGTATGTTCGCTGGCCGTTCGACTGAGTTTGTTTGTAAGTGGTGACATTTCTATGTTCATGCACTTTATTTACTTCAGCTTGCCTCCTTAAAAATTTGGTTCGGCCATCGACGTGCAGCACTACTTGCTTTGTTTTTAATGATAATAATAACAGGCATACTTCTCATCATGTGAGAAGTCGCGCCAATATTTGGCACACAGAGTGTATTACCTGGACAATATGCTGTTGTGTTTTTCTATTTGTCTGTGTTTCTGACAATGCATGTCTCACATGTTTATAATATGCGCCAAAGTGGAAGGTATTGTTGTACTTTTAAGAAATTCTAAACACTGACAGCTACTTAGATTGCGTTTTCTGGGCCTTCAGTAAATTGATTAGCAAATGATCACCCTCGCGAACAAAGTGAGATTATAGTGTCCAGCTGGAGTTAGCTTCTCAGCTTACTGCGAACTGATTGCACTGTCTCACATGTCCTTGGGAGCCAATTCCACAGAAAAGCATATCTGGTTCGACCGCACATTTGTCCCCGCATCGTAGTATAACCAAGGTACAGTCTTTGCTATGAAGGTCCTGCATGGAACGGTGCTGCAATGTTAATGTGAAAAATTGCAATATTCATTCTCACAAATCAGCTTATCCAGTAGCATGAAGTTACGTTTTAATCTTCCAACCGAAAGCGGGTCGAGCTGGAGCTACTGGCACTCCTCCCGATAGCTCAAGGTTAGATTTTTGCGGAATAGGTATTTATTAAATGATCGCTGCATATTTTATACAACTGCTCTGTCAGATTTTCTCATATTGCCCAGATTATGCTGCAATACTCCAGGATTGAGAGAGTGAGGATTGTAGATAGTTCGACTCTGGCTGAGATTGTATGAACCTTATATATTAGTCACGGCTATTCTGGCTTGTGCTATTTTGTACTCAATCTGCTCAGAACAGTTCGAGGCACAGGAGTACCTTATTCCGAGGTCGCGTGTGGCCAGTTGCACACAGAGGCGCTAGTGGTCGTGTGTGTGATAGATCCATGATGTATCAAACGACCGCGACACATGATACTTGACTTTGTGCAGAGAACTTCAGCATCCACTCGTCCCACCATTTCTCAAGTAAATGAATGTCATCTTGCATAAGTAGTAGTACATTATATAGGTCAACTTGTCGGAACTTGTAGACAATTTTATGTCATCTGCAAGCAAAAACAGTGTACAATGTTTAATATCCATACTGACGTCGTTGATATAAGACGCGAAAAGTAATGGACCGAGTATACTTCCTTGTGCAATCCCAATGGGGATTGGAAGCGGGGAAGAGCGATGGTCGCGACTGTTCCGGTATGATAATATCCAACCCAATATGGAATCCTGGACTCCAACGGAATCTACCTCTAGCAGTAGTCGTTTGTGAGTCACCCGATCGCACGTCCAAGATTAGTATTAAGATTGCATACTCTGAATCCGTGGAGTCTGATATATAGTTTAAATCATGATGCTGACAGGCTGTGCACGATCGTTTTTCAAGGAAACTATATTGTAACATATCTGTCTGCTACAGTTAGTTCATGAAATTCAACACACCCTTTTTAACCAATTTTCCGGATAATCTGGCGATTATAGAAAGGGGATGGACTGGTCAGTAAGTGTTAATTTCTGTTTTCCGCTCCCTTTGTGATGGCCGATGATATACCAAGTCTTCCATTGATTTGGAAAGTGAATCTATCCTAGTGGATTGGTAAATATAATCAAAAGAAGGAATAGCATGTCAGACCCTCCAAGTTCTATGGCGGATTGGAGGGATGCCATCAGCTTTATAGACCTCATTGTCTGGCGAATATTACGAAGAAAAATATCAATTTTAGATAGAGCCTTAACCGTTTTTACATTTAATCATGCATTTACAGGATCAGTCTATAGGTTTAGGGAGGTGGCACAGAGCTAAATGCTTCATATATGGTGACTGCGTCTTTGAGTAAGTGGCCTTCCTCGTCAACAAATCGAGGGATAAGAGAAGAGCTGTTATTGGTTCTGTGACGCAGAATTTTGATAAGCTCTTTTGTTTTACATGTCGTTTGTAAGCTTGTTTACTCTTTATTTATTCCATGCATCTACTGGGTTTACTTGACTTTAGGGTTGATCTGGCGCATCAATGTCTCCCGTCTTTTTGTAGTACACGATCAGTTTTCTTGGCCTCTGAATACTTGAACCTTCGGCTACAACTTTTCGCACATAACTGGTCGGCTTTGCTTGTGAAAGAAGTAGGGTTATGACAGTGGTGTTCAACTGCTGTGCATGCATTGATGTAAAAGAAGAAGAAGAAGAAGAAGAACACATCTTAATTTGACCGCATTAATTGACGGAAGTGTTCCTAGTCTATCCTGTGGATTGCATACTGGAAAAGTGAAACTTGTTCGGTGGCCATTTTAGCGTTGAATGTGTGCGGTGTGTCATTTTGCGGTCGCTACCCGGGAAATTCTCTTAGGTGTCACACAACGGCACATAGATTTGGAATCCCCTTGAGATCCATATGTTCTGTACTACATCAGGATTCATGAAGCGAAGAAAACTGGGTTAACTTATTCTTATGGATCAAAATTTTCGCCTACAATACACGCGTCACAGTTGGCATGCACAGTCATTAACTTGGTGAATCCGCTACCACTACGGCACGACTACGGAGGATGAGACGATTGGGCTACCGTAGACGTCCTGATTTTGCTCAACTGGTACTTCACCACAACTGAAGGCTGCTCCGTTTGCCTGCAAGTGAGTCGGTAGGGCGATTCAGTGGGATATACTTCAGGCGCAACCTGTGCCACACCAAGTCCACTGCTGATCTCAACCTGCGGTTTCTCAAACACGTGCTGCGAAGAATGATGCACCAAGTCGGGCGCACTATACATGCACTGTGCTGCTTGATTCCTGTCCGTCGGTTGTCAACTGTGGCTAACCATCGGTGAAGCTGAGGGGCCCGCGAGACTCGGCTCAGCTATTGCCGCTCCCCAACATCGTCCATCTCTTAGTGCGTCCATCGCTATCTTTCGATTGTACAAACTACTCATCTTGTTATATCACTGTATTTTCCAGCTCTGAACGCAACAAGGAATCCGGACTAGGTCAGGCAAGTCACCAACGGTGCGTTACAGGCCGACATTGCTCCTCACTCTGTGCAATCGTTCTTTAACCCGGTATTATGCGCGCCATATTGGACACCAGTTCCGTTGTCTGCATATAAAGGTTTTGTGTTTTCCCCACAATGATACCGTTAGCTCACACTTGTGTCCCTCAGTTAGTAGAATAAGCCCTTCACACACCAATCGCGAATTAATACGATCTCCTCACTTCTTACCTGCGGTACATACCTGACCAATGCTCTGCAAATGAAGAGAATACTCCTCTGTGACAATTCTGTGATGTCGCCGCCGACCGTTAATGTCCCCACGACCGCAAAAAGAACACGCAAACAAGACCAGACCGAAGTGTATGCATGAGAACATTGCTTCCTTGTACAGGGTACAATAGTGGGTGAAGCAAATCCACAAGAGCATGTTGGAGCCATCCAACCTTATGGGAAACAACGAATAATACGAACAAATGAGAATTGGCCAAAAAACGAACCAATCAGGCGAGTTCGAGGAAACGGCGTTAGCATCCATTATCAATGACTTAGGCAGCCAATCAAAGCAAAGAAATGGTAAGTTTTAACAATTGTCAAGTAACAAATGATGGCGAAACGAAAGCACACGAGTAAGAGCTGTAGCAGAAATATGCGTCCATTAAACATCCTCCCAACAACTTCCACTTGGAAGGGGTTTACTAGAATCTTGCTAGACAAGGTGCAACAAATTTCGTTACTTATGAAGCTACATTGTAAACTCTCACACGAAAGCCCTATCAGGGGTGCTTTTGAGGCGGCGGATCTAGCAGTATTGCCTTGGTAACCAAAAATATAATATATTACATGTGAAACCTGTTTCATCCGACAACTTTTAGTTGATTCCGAAATAACTTATTTCGATGCAATATCAAGCTGTTTCATGCCAACGGCTTGCTATTTGACACACTTGGTATATTTCGTCATTGTAAATTCCAACGCGGAATTCTCTTGCCTAATTTCCAGACAACCACCACAGCACTTCGACACCCCACTCGTGTTTGCGTGGGAGCCAGTGTCCGTCGCACTATTACCTGACCACAGAACTGGTGAAACCGGGCACCATATACGCAAACGTCGCTGAAACATTCACCACGGTGTTACCGGTCTGCCGTCCATGTCACCAGTTGTGCAATTCGTGTTCCTCAGCAAGCGTCGTTCGGGCGGGTCCGCACCATCTCGGTTGCATTACGTGCACTGCTGTGTGGTTTCGAGGCGCATGTGTTGAGGAATGTCCGTCAAGTAAGTCAGCTGAGGTAGAATTCTCCGCGAAAACTACACTAATTTCTGTCAGTCGGTACTCTTCTGTTGTTCAGTAATGTCTCGTGCCGTAGTAATCGGATCCAAAGTCGATTTACCCTGATTCAGATTGTGACAGCCAATGTCAGACATCTCCAACATAGGGAATTTCATCACCAAAATTTTCGCAACTATGCTTTTCATTCATTGAGAGCATAATAATAAGAGAATGATTGTTACTGAGTAAATGAGTACGACTACCTTTGGCAGCCTTAGGAAAAGGCCCACAGAGGTTACTCGTAAACGCTATTGCAATAGCCATCACGGTTTTATTCTCTATTTGCGGCTGGTGAAATATCAACTATAAAGTGGAGATACATGTTTAAATCTGGACCAAAAAGCTTGTTTCTTGTTCCCTTTTCTCATATACATTCCTCACTCATCCAGTGAACTTTCTCATCCCATGAGGAATTGATAAATTGTGCCCAAACAGAGGCTATCTGGTGGGCGGTTTCGCCGCCAAGTGACTTATACCTCTGATTATATCACTAGGTGATTTGAAAAGCAGCCTAACATGAAGAAGTAGGCCAAAAGACCGGGTTTTCTATGATGCTATTGTCGATGGGATTCACCATTTAGAAACCCTCCAGGACATGTCGAATTCGTATGTTCACTGAGAGTCTTACTCTTGCTCCATACTTCCGATCATGGAACAATTCATTAAACGATTTTGGTTTCATTGTCTATCCCTGCTGGTTTGTCCTGTTGCTCGCGAAAAGTCGGTTGTTTAGGTGGAAGCAATATTTTCTAACCAAGTACGGGTCGAAAAAACATAAGTATTCACTATATATATATATATATATATATATATTTGTAGCATTTCCGTAAAATAAACTTCCTGACCTCGTAAACTTACCTCGTATTTGTTGGTAAACAACTTATTGCATATGCTCATTAATTTAAGATTTACGTCACCATTTCCTTATACATTACCCGATTTATTTTCTTTGTTATCTTTCTCTCAAATGATTGGATGTTGTTTGATATCCCCGGTGTGGCTGCACTTGATGGGCATGTTGATAAAGTGCCTATCTGTCTATTACCCAATACTTCGTCCATACTGGCTCCAGGAGACAGTTGGTCGTTGCTGGAGGGGACGAGGTGCACGGTCCTTGTGGCCCTGCTAGGCTCAAAGAGCGGTTCCATGCACTCAGTGTGGAGCGGACTACGGTCCAGCCACCGCCTTGTGTGCGCTTGATTCCCCAAATACAGCGTGCTTGTGTTTGCCTGTGAAGGAGTGTGGGCCGGCTCCGTTGATGAAACGTGGCTCCCATCCGCAAGCCTCCTGGTCTAATTCCTTCGGGTTTAAACTGGATGTGACGTGTGTGGATGGAACTGTGAGTGGTGCAGCGCAAGCCACCCATGGTCCCTCTGTAGGCGCAGGCGTCCTGTGGCTGTCCACAGTGACAGGCAAATCCAAAACCGGATATATATATATATATATATATATATATATATATATATATATATATATATATATATAGTTGGCCACATCCAGTTCCGGATATGCCTGTCAGTACGGCCTCCACGGGGACAGCCACATGACGCCTGCGCTTATAGAGGGACATGGGTGGTTTGCGCTGCACTATCCACAGTTCCAACCACACCCCATATCCGGTGTAACCTTGAAGGAATAAGACCGGGAGGCATGGGGATGGGAGCCACGTTTCATCAACGGAGCCGGCCCACACACCTTCACAGGCAAAACCATGCACGCTGTAGTTGGGAATCAAGCGCACACAAGGCAGTGGATGGATCTTAATCCGCTCCACACTGAGTTCATGGAAAGTCTCTTCGATCTTAACACGGCCACAAGGACCGTACACCCGGTCCCCTCCAGCAACGATCACACGTCTCCTAGAGCCAGCATAGACGAGGTAGTTGGTAATAGACAGGTAGGCACCTTGTTAACATGTCAAGCAGCGGCAGCAGCAGCAGCCAATGAAATAACTAATAAAATAGGTCGAAAATACCATACGGATATGCCGCTAAATAAGCGCATGATATAAATGGATTATCAACATTTCCGTGATATTATTGAAGATGACAGATAAACTGATCAAGAAACATCTGCAAAACAGAGAAAAGAAGTTAAGCACCATATATCTAAGCGACATTTGCAATGTATTACTTTATTCAGGCTGTCATTAAAATGAGGCAAGAAAGTGAGCATATGTATATCACTTTAGCTTTAAACTGGGCATTATTAGAACCACCTGGATGTTTTCTTGGCTCAGAGTTGCCGAATTTCAAACCACATGGGACATTTTCAAGTCGAACTGAGTGGTTTTGAAATGAAGCTGGACGATTTGCAAATCGAAGTGGACACGGTTATTTTACTCAGGAGATCGGCACTTAACGGTGCAGCGAGTAACAACGTTCGAGATGGTCAGTTGAAGAAAGTATATTTGTCATCAAGTTCGTCGTCATACTGTAGACGTAATTAATATGATCCTAGTGCGCTGACGTCCCGACACAATTGGATAAGCGCTCTTAGCGTCTGGACAGGTGTTATGTTGGTCGGCAAGTGCTTTGCCGATGCATTCGCTTCCGTGGACAGGGTTTCTACTGGGTTTAGCATGTTGGACTAAGGTAACAAACTTCAGATGATAGGACAAACGCAGGATGCATGTTGGATCGTTCGGTATGTGGATTTTGGTGTTGTTCATGACCTGCCTTGGGCCGATCATTTGCCCCCTTCAACAAACACGAACCACATACTTTTCAACGGAAGTGCAGGATTTTGCCTCAACGCAGGCGTACCTGTTACTTATCTTTAAGAGAACTCCACCCTGGTCATTATTGCCACGATCAAAGTCACCATGCCGTCTCAACTGCCGGGCAGTTTGACGCTCGCGCATCCTTCTTCTTGAGCCAGCCTGCATCTGTCACAGATACGATCTGAACCCACATTCTTCAATGCAGATCCAATTTCCTTGCCGAAATTTCGGGGGCATACACCTCACGTTTTATGAATACAGTGATACTGTTAACGCGATGTGTCTCGTTTTGGCACTTCTAGAGTTTAAACTAGCTCTTTGGGGGCATTGAAAATTGTAGATACAACCAGGTGGATGTCGTTCTCCTTAACTTGCTGATGTATCCGCATCAAAGATGCCTCCGAATGTCTCTTCGATGCTTAGCTGAATGTCTAGAGTCAGCTTCTACTTGTTAGTTCCTCCACAGCATGGCTGAACAGGGACACCTTCTCGTCTGTGGGTCTCGCTAGTAGTTGCCACGCTGTCATTGATGTCGACAACTTGGGCAGGCTCATGGGTGGTATTCCTATCGTCAGAAACAAACTTTATTATTGTGTTTCTGCACCAAAGATGTTCGCTTGCACCGTCCCTGCCTTGAAGACGCGTACTCTAAGGAATTGCTTGCTTCGTTAACTATTCAGTTCAGCGAAGTGATTTCCTTCCGACAATTCAATATGCTAGTATTCGCTAAGCCAATGTTGGTTGAGTCACAATAGGCTACGTTGTTCGTAGATCCAACCCTCCAATGTGCTTTTGCACAGAAACATTCATGCACACAAATTACAGGATGGCCGATGGGGTGACTGTGTTAGCTGGACTGGACTTTGGATCCGCACTCACAGTCAAGTGAAATAACGGCCATGGCAAGGGAAGAGTTTGCATCAGCGCCCTCCACTTCACCAATCAGGTTGCATTAACCTGCTCTCAACCTGATCTGAATAGCATCTAGTTTAGCTAGAAAATGCCCAGTTTAAAGTGAAAATGGTATACGTTGTGCCAAGTTCATTAAGAATAACATGATTTTCGTGGTCTAAAACAAACGACTTCAGTACCATTGTTTCGACGAAGCGAAGAGTATTAAGTTCTTTGTGATATAGGAGCAAATATTGGTAGTTCAGGTTGTTCAGTTGGTGCTCTGAATGTTCCCCGAGCTCGGCAGTTTGACTGCAAACGCTTCGGCAACGGTGAACAGCTTGCCAGTCATCGGACGCAAGCTTTCTAGTCCCTTCCATGATCACGATGTTCGTTGTTGTGGGCGTACACAATGACACCCGATTAACCGCGACGGTGTACAGTACCCAGTAAAATTCCGTGTCTGGCGGTGTCGTGCGAGGTTCACTAGTAGACGAAATTTTCGCAGCTCAGCGAACACTTAGACCTCCAGTGGAGTTCCTTGTTATGCGGCTAGAAAGTTTCAGACAATCTGCTGGGCTGCGTAGGTAGGGCAAGATATCTGCCTCGTCTGATGTCTACACTGGCGTCTGATTGGCTACCAGCTGTCTCTCGAATCCATTCACTCATTCTGATTCGTTACTTTAATTGCCCTTATTACTCTTGTCTTCTCACACATTTTAATCGGTATTTTTGCGAAAACCTGACTCAAAGCGCATTGATCCTCTGCACATTGGTACACGAGCCATCGCCCTTCAGTTGAACTCACCTTATTCTGCTAGACGGCATACCGTAAAGTGCCGACTTCCATGTACCAATCCATGTTGACCTTGTTTTCAGAAGATACCTACAGCATAGTGGTGAGGCGGATTCCAGTTTGGAATGTTTCGTCTACCAACACAAGTGCTACCCATTCCGAATGGCCGAACACCACACGAGTTGCGCACCCGCACAGTGACGTATCGCAGGTGTTTTTCACACGCCAAGTGTCCGGCCACTGTTTGGCCTGCGATCCCATGTGTCACACTGGTTGCTGGGGTCCAAATCCGGGCCAGTGCAAGCATTGTTTGCACTCCCGCGTCCATTTGAGCATTCTTCCTCAGTCTATGCTGCGCTTCCGTCCCGAGTGGACGGAGCAACTGAACGAAGCATCATCCCAGCAGGTAAGTTGCACGGTTTTGCTCACCGGTTGTTTTGGTGTCGGCATGCCACAGTTTCCCAAGTGAGCGATCATAACGCCTGTTCTTACAATATTCGTCGCTTGTCTGTTCACTTAGTGTAATTAATAGAATTAGTCAAAAGTCAAAAGTGAAGAGATTGCGAGCCACCGGATGCAAGCGAGCTTTCTAGTCCCTTCCATGACTACAGTGTTCGTTACATTGTAAGTGTACACAACGACGCCCGAAAACGACGACAGTAAGCATTAACGGGCAACTTATCGTGTCTAGCGGTGGCGTGCGTAGGTTCACCAATAGACTGGTTGTAGTAATTCTTCCATCAGCATACATCATTCATGTGTCAGTTGTACGCCGTAACGGCTCTTCGCTGCCACGCGACCACCACGTCGCGCACGGGCTGAGTATACCGCGAGGACGCCCACCTCTACGCGGGTTTGAACCGGTGACATTGTGGTTGCAAATCAGGCGCACAGGGACACTCAGCCACCAGCGGACATTACTCAACAAACAGATCGATCCACACTTTGTATTTTTAATTAACGTATTATTGTATTCAACTAAAAACCGCACTTTTGAAGTAAGGCGCCGGCCAGACGGGCGAGCGCACTGTGTCTACTGAGGACACGCCAGCTCAAGGTCATGGCGGCAACTGACAGTTGATTGCCCTCAGTGGCAGCAGCTCACCCGCTCTGTCGGTTGGTGCGTTAATCCACAGTTCGATTACCTTTTAATACGGAAGTATGTCCTTTACCGCACAAATCCATAGACTATCCGCAGGTGATAAACATCATTATTTTTCTCACGTGAGACTTTCTGGCTTGTGAGAAGCCACAAATCGAACAGTTTTCCATGGCCCGAAAATTGGGCCCATTTGGTCACTCTTCATTTTCTGGTCGCGTTGCGCTGGTTGGAAGGTTAAGTGAATTTGAGACTTCGAAAGGTGGTATAATCTCAGCACAACTACACACTGATACTTTGTGTAAACCGTCTCTTCATTCGATCGAATAGTGAAATGAGGCTAATAGATTTTACTGTTGTCGTTGGTTGGCATTCGGATTCGTCAAATCAATCGACTTATAGTCACCTCTCGATCACTGATTTTCCATAGCCCATAAGGAGGGATTGATGAGCGTGCGATTGATGGACAGGACGTAAACGCAACAGCTAAGTATGGAAACTTTATGAATGTAAACCGCATTTCGTTTTTAAGTGGGTCCAGAGACATAGCTGACCATCTAGGTCCGATTAAAGCATCGAGCTTATTATCAGCGTGGATCTAAATTGCATACAATGGTTGTCCTCACATGCCTTCTTTCTATGAAATACTCCTTGGATTGCGATGGTAGTCTTGCAGAGACAACACTACGGTCCTTTGTATATGTTATTGCGGTTATATGGAAGCGGAGAATAGTTTAAACTGTGGAGACAAAACCTATGTCTTGATTTACCATAACAACCACTACATTTCGTCACGTTCGGTGTCTTTTGAATGCCACATAATTATCTCGTCAGAAGTTGTTTCTATTTTTCTAGATCCACTAGCTGCTTGTACGTTTATTGACCGAAGTCCCATTCGACCACGTTAACGCGTATGCTAGTTTTTGGTCAACCAAACTGCTTAGTTTTCTTGACTAATTCAGCGGTACGATGATAGTCGCTTGCCTACGCAGCATGAAGTCGAAAAGAAACCACTCACCAATAGAGGGAGATGTACTAGCCTCAACTTTCGTTGTCAGATGGTTTCCTCTTATGTTGCGAGGTCGATAATTCCTACCGGGAACGAATAATAAATTGTTAATAGTCATTTTCCGCACAAAGAAGGGAATACCTGTACACGTACGACAAATCTTACTCAGCGTTTGGTAACACTGTTACTCGGATATGATTTTATTGTAGCCCACATGCCCGCGGTTAAGTTCAGCAACGCTGATGCGTTTCCCCAGCTTATCGCAAAACAGTAGAGTATAGAAGACCAGGTGATTGAGTTAGCCGCTCTGGTATCGGATGTGCAACAGCTTCCGTATAATTCAATCAGATCCCTTTCAATCACTTCTGTGGATATCCTGAAGCACGACAAACTAGAACCCATTTTGTAGATCATTGCTCGTTTTTTGAACACAAATTGGCCAGACCGGATTATTGATACACACCACCGATTTTATCGTCGATGTGACTCGTTGGCACTGGTCGATAAATGTGTTACGTTTAGGAAATGCGTCATATTCCGAAGGTTTTCCAAGTCAGGGGCATAATATATTTACACCTAAATCACCCACATCACACCATCCGTCACCGATCGACTGGTACTCGTGAAAACCAGATTCATGAAGAGCAAGCCGGGATTCGTCAAGATCGTAGCTACATCGACCACATCTCCACTTTGCGTCAATCGTTGGAGCACCGCCGTGTTTATTGGCAACCCACCGTTGTGTTTCTCGACGTCAAAGGTGCTTCTGCTTCTGTGGATCGATGTGCCCTTTGGGACTGTCTGCTGAGGAAAGGTGTGCCCCATAAATACGTAAACATTATCAGAGCGCTGTATGCGTATAGTTCGGACAGAGTGAGGGTTTATAGAGAATTGTCGATGCTCTTCAATATCTCCAGCGGTGTGAGACAAGAATGCCTGCCGTCATCTTTCCTCTCTAACTTCGTCACTGACGAAGTCATGGAAGCAGCATTCGCAGGACAAGACTTAATCGGTGTGGACCTGTTCCCAGGCGAACGACTTTTTTACTTGGAAGATGATGACGACATTGCCCTCATCTGCGTCAGCTCCCAACCGTGCTAAGCGGCACTGGACTGATTAGAACTGGCTGTCACACGTTTCGGGCTATGCTTTACACCCACCAAGTGCTAAGATTTTCTTCAAGATTGGCCTAAACGGCATTCTGCGTTGAATCTTGCTGGGGATCAGGCAGAAGTCGTTCAAAGTTCAACTACCTAGGTAGTTGTATTAGCACCTGTGGAATCTAAGATGGGGTTACTATCCGTATGGCAATAGCTCCAGGCGCTTTTGCTAACATTTGCCAACTATGGCGTCGGCGCGACATCACTCTTCTCCCTGAAGAGTAGGGCGTACAGTTCAGCCATACGTTCGATCTCGCCGTGCCGTAGTGAAGTCTGACCCATTAGATCGGCAGACATAAGGAGGCTATTTACGTTCGACCACTAGTACCTTCGCAGTTGGACTCATATCTATGTGGACCCCATGTGAGCAATGAGCGTGTTCGAGGCCTGTTTATGGCACAGGAAGAGGAAGTAAACCGTTCGGCTCCGTTATTTCACGCACCAGACTCCGATGGCTGGGCCACGTGTTGCGTAGGCCAGCACACCGACACCCGCGACGTATGTTGCTTGCGCGACCGGGATGTGGACGGAAGAAGAAGGGAGACTAACCGATGAAATAGTTAAAAAGAATGCAGGCTTTTAGTTTGAAGTTGGCCTCGATTGGAGCCTGTATGTTCACTGGTTGGGGTTCGAAAGAGGATGAACACATCTGGCTGGATACACTTGATGACATAGCATAGAGTCTACCTCAGTGACGCTTGCGTTGTGTTTCCTCGTCCCCCCTCCTGTTTAGCCTCCACCTCCAACCCGATCTCTTTCCTGAAGCATTATATAGTGTTTTTGCGGTGCAAAAATCGGTTGATAGCTCTCCGGAAAGAAGTCAATCCGTTACTGGTGGGTCAGATAGCGCGCCAGTGTTGCTTTTTATTTCTCTCTCTCTCTTGTGCATTGCGATAGAATGGATTGATGTGTTCCCACATTTAGCTAACGTATATGATGATGATGCTGACGCTGATGAAGATGATGATGGTATCACTGCGGAACATCGCGAATGAAAGCTCTAGCCAGAGGTTCCGTATGCTTGTATTTCATCGACAGTGCCATCTGAGAGTGTTTCCCCACATGTAACAATTGCGCTTCGACAGCAAAACTTTGCAAACCTAGTTACCTAACCTTGAATGCCAGTGTACAAGTTTTGGGGGAGAGTTTCTGTTGCTTTTGCTGGCGCATCACAAGGTCATTTTTTCTTAATTGTGATTGATGCGTACACTTAGTGGCTGGAAGCATATCTGATGAATATGATCATTACAACAGCTACAGTAAGTAAATGATAACAGTTATTCTCACAATTCGATTCATCGAACACCTTGGTTTCCGGTAAGGGCACACAACTTGTCTTCAATGAATTTACTTCGTTCTGTCAGCGTACTAACATCAACAATTGCCGGTCTCCTCCGGGACATCTTCAGTTCGACGGACAAATCAACGATTCGTGGGTACCTTCAAGCATTCACTTCATTCACTACGGGGAGAAGGACCGACAGGGAAGTTCATACGACTATTTCTGGTTTCGGGCTACGCCCAACCATGCTACATCAGGTGGCAGGTCCCCAACGAAAGCCATCTTCGAATGTAAAATACGTCAACCATTGGATGCAATACGCCGGACGATTGCGCAAGCCCATCAACGTGCTGAGGTACCAAAAAGCAATGGCTCGGTGCTGTCCGAAGCGTCTATCGGACCGATACTTTTCGTTCGTCACATTAACCGGTTACGCAAACGACGGATCGAACACTGGCTTTTCAACTTTCGAGTTATCGTTGGGTTTACTGTTGGAGACGTTTGAACTATTAAAACTGTTGAGCTCAGTGAGCCTACAGAAGCGCACACAGTGCCATGCGCTGAAGTCATTCGCAGGTTTATGCGTACAACTCAACCGATTCGCTTTCCTCTGCAAGGTTGGTAAACCTGCATAACTGGCTTGCAAACTGTAACGGTCTGCCACCGTCCTCCTTGGCTCGGTGGTGTAGGCTGCTGGCTAGTCGGCACAAGCTACTAGCGGTCACCGGTTTATTTCTTTGCAGGGAATTGAGAGAATGCGCGTCACTGACGAGCCACAATGGTGCGAAACAATCTTCTGGGGCTTTGCCGGATTGGTGCATAGATTGTCGCGCTTTTGAGCTGCTGGGACGAATCAGTTCAATTTACAGATGCACTTCTACTAGCCAGGAGAACAGCGTTTTTTGGAAGTGGGGGATGTTAGGCCCAGCGATCCGGTTATTAAAAAGTGCAGCGTCGTCGCACGTCTCTGGCGATGTGCTTCACTCTCGCGCACTGCCCTCTACCTATTCCCAGTCATTCGCATCCACAGAGCTTTCAAGTTCCTCCTTAAAGAAATCATGTTCTTCCAAAGTTCCGTCAAGCTAGTCTGTAACACTATGAAATTGCATCCAGCGGGCACAAACGCTCCTAAAACCGCGTACTACTCGTTGATTGTTCAAGTCCAGATCAGCCGATAGTGTAACAGATGAGCACACAGAGTGGAATGGGATTGGCTGATTCGGGATCGGTCACTGAATGAACAGCGGGATTCAGTGGAGTAAGCGCTTGTTTGACGGAATTTCATAGCGTTGAAGACTGTCTTGAGAGATTTATAGAGGAACACAATTTCTCTAAGGAGGAATTTGAAAACGCTCTGGATGCAGCTGACCGAGAAATGGTATAGGGGTCCATGTGTATGAGGTCGCCGATTAAATGACTCGACGTGTATAACGCACGCTCTTAGCCTACATTGCCGGCCGTTTTGTCGGTGTTGTGTAACTTGAGGTTTGATGCGACGAAGTCTTTGACCTTGTGACCCTATGCTGCAGCAACCACGACGAAACAAATAGGTTTGTACCCACGTCGAACACAGAGCTACTTCATGTTTGTGACTGAAAAAGCCTGGACTTTATTATCGTCTTGAAAGTCATCACCCCGTTATGGCTTACAATTCGTCTGATCCGCAGCCACCTTGAGGCCAATAAACCTTGTCTTCTTTTAACCGCAATAATCGCCGTCTGAGATTTTTTGGGTATATAAACGGGAACTGAGCGACTGTCCATGTTCAGACCCATATGATTCTTAGTGCCTTGAGCACGGACCGGCGGCCCATGAGTGGGTGTGGAATGAACAAGTTGACACCTCAGAAGCGCCGGTGTGACCTATCTTCTGAGGGACAGGGTGCTAGAGGTGGATAACATACAGCTTACTAATCCTTATGTGCTGTTTGTTCACAGCCATCAATTTCTGGCCCGTTTGTGTGATCTGAACACAGGACTCTCTGCACTTTTGGAATGCGTCCTCGCCGGCCTGTGCTAGCAACGTTTGTAGCAAAGTTGAGCAATTCACTTATAGGGTTCTAAGCAACCGCCTTTGTTTGTGCTGCGGCATGCAACCTTGCTGTTGCATACCCTTACCCTGAAGTGAACGTCAGGGTCTTTCGTTTTTGAAACCCGGTATGCGTTCGGATAGCAGTGCGCCAACCTAGTATTTACCCTCCCAGTCCTCGCGACCTCTGCCTGATGAGTTCAGCCTAGGAGAAATCTGGTCAGAAAGTGCAGCTGTTTCAAGCGCCATCCAAGGGTTCGCATGACTGAGATTTGCCTCCATGCAAATTGCGCCCAATCTGAACTTACATGTCACCTTTCATTCTTCCAATCATTATTCGGACAACCTAATGGATGATTTGTTTCCTATCGGTAAGTTGCAGTTGGCTACTTCAGTTGACTGTAGGTAAATGTAGGAAGTTGGAACCGTAACCCAGTTGGGGTTAGTTGAGTTTGGCAAGGATGACCACATAGAGCACAGTTGGATTAGTTAAGCGCATTCGTTGCCTGTAGCTCATTCGGCTCACCAGGAACAGACGCGATGGAAGTACCATATGCGTCATTGTGCACAGCCCAGAGAACATACACCACACGAACGGTAATGCAGCACGTTTGCTCTTCGAACTTCATTTTATTTTGTAATCCACTTGATCCATTTTGTTTATCCGTAGACATTATAGGATTGCGTCCAGTCGAAACTACGATTTTCCACCATAAACTTTATGCATACTCTCTTCGCTAAAATTAGGAAAGCCTCTTCAATATTCTTTCATTATTCTAAACAATATAATGAGAAGAGGGGCGTTACAAGATGATATCAACTCGTGCTCTCTCAACACATGCAAACGAGCAACGTGCTAAACGATCACTGAGGGAAAGAATCAATAATTTGAATGCTGACAGAAGTAGTAAGCACACAGAACGTCAAAGGCTACAACAGAACCAAAAGTGATGAAAATAGCATCACAGTCCCTATGAAAGCCACTGTGTGACAGACAACTATTTATTGTACTCAGAAGTCAGGACGATTGCGATTGGTGAACAAAACCTCGGCGAACTTGAGCATTTTGGCGTTTGTGTTGCATTAGATAACCGTAAAATCTACGTCCGGGTCAACTTGATGACCCGTACTTCAGACAGGCGTCAAGTTTCAAAATACTAGCCCCGTCGATTGCTAAGCCCTTACTGTGCTTACTCCTTTCTGTCAGCATAAAAATTATTGATTCATTCCCTCAGTGATTGTATAGTATGTTGCTCGTTTGCATGTGATCAGAGAGCACGAAACAATATCACGATGCAACGCCCGTCTTCTCAATGTTTGGAATGATAAAAGGAACTCATTTCTTCTAATTCTTCCATTACCACAACGTGGAACACCAACAGGAATATTTATTTGGCTCAGGTAGCAGTGGTCATTCAGTGACCTAACCCCGGTTCTTACGCTCAAAAAATCAGCATTTTTGTTACTTTGTTTTCCAATACTTTGCGCCAGGGCACATTACCCACATCTACTCCATCTTTCTTTTGTCCCCTTTCCAGTCTTCCAACGTTCCCATTCCTACACATGCAGTTCAAGCGCGCTTCGTTTGCGTTTCCCGGTGCCCCGCTGAATTACCATTTGTGGTTCAAGACCCTACAACTGGGGACCACTTATGCCACCACGAGACAGTTCTCTCGGCCAAACATGTGGAACGGATCAAAGAAGAGAACGCCTTGACCTTCGCTATGTCCGGAATCTCTCTCACCTCATTTGACTTCATGTCGACATCGGACTCAACAACAGGGCACACAGGCAACATCTTCATGTGGTTAATGCTTACCAGCGTTGCCACAATTCTCTGCACCCTCATCATCTGCCTGTGGCGGGCACATCAACGCAAGTGGAAGAGGTATTACTGGAAGCGGACCTTTGAACCAAGCTCAGATGGTGGTTTCCCAGGCGACTCGTACACCTGGAGTTGCATCCATGCAACAAAATATTCACTGAGCGCGTGTGGCGCTAACTCCGCGGCGCACCCCGGACGTAGAAGTGAAACTTTAGAGATGGGGCTACTTTCGAAGGGGAAAGAAGCTCAGAATCATGGAGGCACTTTTGCAAATCAGACTGCTTTGGACGGAACCCAGGTACTGTTATACTGACAAATCTTGTTTCTTCTCGGTTATTCGCTTCGACGAAACGCATCTGCTAACCTTTGCTCCTATCAGCTAAGAGATTGTCATTCTAAAGGTATGAGACTAACTTAACCGTGCAGTTGGCCATTGCGATTCCGCATTCGGTGACGGTTACTTTGTCTGAACCAAACAACGTCGGCCAGAAGACGCAGCCGGGGGAACTATTTCGGCCAGGGGGCATAAGCTGCAATCGGCTTATGCTTCTGCACAGCATTTTTGATTAATCCAAACACTAGCCCACAGAGGACGGAGACAAGCAGGGGCTAACATCAGGAATGCACTTTGCAGCTTCCCAGTTCTTGAATCACCCAAACTCATAAACTTAACGAATCCACCGAGCCCTGTTTTCATACTCGAACACTCGTCGTACCTCTTGCTATTTCTGTTTCATAAAGTTATGGGCATGAACACCAGAGAACAGACATTCTACTTGAGTGCTCATTGCTCAAACCATACTTAAACCATCAAGTAACGATCAAAGACGCAAACATACCGCGAGAGTTTTTCAAGAGTGAAGATGCTCAAAAGGAACTACTATCAAAGCGGACTTAAAACCCTAGGCTTGTTTCATCATTCAGTGACCAGTGCTGGTCTACCCACTACGCACCTGAACGCTGCTCATTCAACTATATTGAATTGGCTCAGGTATAGCAAACTGGTGATGAACACTCGGAGTATCTGAAACTGTTTTTAACGTAACTCTTGTTGTGTTGGAAAGCAAAGAATTGCAGGACTGCAACTAGACTACACGTGGTTGACGGAAGCGAGATACCGCATACCTAACGGTTACCCCAGTCGACCAGTTCAGGTTTGTATACGTACGTTGCAAATGTTGAAAATGTGCCCCTTCATCGTTTAGTGTCCTGTAGTTGTGGTGTCTATGACAGCACCAAATCGCTTCCATCAAGGAACGGTCTACAGTCGGGTCACCGCCTGATGCGTGCCGGCGGTGCGTGACTCTCACAATTTGTGATAACATGGGGCTACTACGGGTTTTTCCCGTACTGGTCAACTTCGCATAATATGCCCGTTTTTCATCGTGATGCATGTTCCATTCCGAGCACAGAGGCACTGTCGTGACCTGAATTGTGGCCATGAAGGCCCGTCTATGGATGCGTGGTGTGCATGTTCACAAAGCGGGGGAAAGCCACCACATTGTATTTATACTGGGGATCTGGATGTATGGATGGACTAGGGAGTCTTGTAGCGCACCATACGCAGACTCCCTCTGGGGTCCTGAGTACTCGCGGCTGTTCGCATCACATTGCCAAGCAATTCCGGGATCGTAAACCCCCTACCACTAATTCCACCTTCTGAAGATTTATGGCGTGTGCGCGTTAGCGAGTAGTTTAGAAAAGAATCTCTCGTTTACTGCGCTTTGGATCACTTGATGATCAGCTCTCCGTGCGTCAGGTTCCATTTAGGCGTCCTAAATCACCTGATTGTCCCATACGTTGGGGCTTATCTTCTCATCAACTACCTTCAAGAGAATGTACCAGTTTCGACTTTTATCTGCCTACATCTGAATTATTGGTGACATTGTAATTACTGTGCTTACTGTGACTCGTGCGATCGAGTAGGCAATTCTGCTGAAATAGTCATACATTACAGCCAGTTCCCCATTAAAAAACCTTCCGGGTTTATTCAGCGCGAGAAGACCAAATCCCGTCAAGCTACCCGCTACCGCACTTTTGTGGGTATTAATAAGAAAACTAGAAGAATACTGGTTGTTGACATCAGCACTCCTCTTTGGTGTCTATTTGTAACTGATAATGACGTATTACCCTTTATGCTTCTCCTCTTCCATCATCCGACAAATGTTCCACTGAGAGCACTCTGGAGTAGCTTAATCAGTAGAAGTGTACTCGTATTTGCAAATTATTTTCCAAAGTTTCTATGGCGTGGTGGAGTGGTCATTATGCCAACTGGTCAAATATGCTATGTCGTATACTCCTAAACTATTTCATACTTGTGTACTCCGACATTTAAAGGTAATTTAAATGCCTGGCTATTGTGTGAACCCTCACTTACTTGGCCATTGTGTCTGTCACCTTTGACAGAATTTACCATATGCTATTGTTCAATATAGGTCTCATTTCGGGTACTTATACTGCCGAAGTTAGCGGAGACTAAACAGAGGAGCAAACGATACAGCTCAATCATCCAGCTTCTGCAAAGAAAAAGCCGTGGAAGCACTGTTTTTCTGACGGAATCGCATCGTTACACCAGTAAATCACTTTCGTGTAAACTTGACTATGGAGTGTACACGCCCAATTTCGCTACATCCGATTGCTTGATTGCCCTCGTTCTCCACATAGCAGACTTTTTGTCCAACTCACCATTGGTCAACGGTTCAATTAAACCATATAAAAGTTATCCTAGGTCTGATCGGCATTCTCTCCAGCCTCTAAATAAGTGCTCAACACAGTTTTATCATTGCGAAACATAACAGGCGGTTATCCATCACCGCTTGTAACATCGCGCGACGTATCTTCTCCGGAGTGATGGGTTTTAAAGAAACAAAAAACGTCCTGGAAATTCAGTACTAAAATCCATTGCAATAACTTGGAATGATTAAGTTGGTTTGTTCAATTATGTATTAACCTAAGGTGTAACCTAACGCTTTTGAGTCATGTAGGCTAGCTAATCACTTTTAATTCGACCCTGGCTTAATCGGACGCAATGCAGGCGTTAGCGGAAGAACGAAATCCACTCCTCAACCTGACGGACTTTTAAATCCTAACTATGCTTATAATCCCCACCACAACTACTGTCTTAGGTTTTTCTGTAGTTGATTTTGTTAATGCATTTCAGACCACTCGGTCTTCCAAGGCTCCAAATCTCGGTCGACTTGTTATGATTCAATCGGATGATCTCATTCTTGACGAACAGTATGGTCCCTTGGGGACTGGTGCATTCGGCGCTGTATATCGAGGCGTTTGGAGAGTCGTCGATCCTGATGCAATTGGTGACCAGTCCGCTGCTTCGACCGCTATTGGCACACGTTCGGATTCGATGCATTCATCTGCGACTCTGTGGACAACAGCTCCGACCCCGAGCGAGGATGAAAAAAGTGATCGGCCGCTTCTGGTTTCCCCTACTTGTCCGTCGGCTGCGAACACACCAAATTTTCGTCAGCCTCCAAGCTATCGAATGGTCCATGTTGCGGTGAAGATACTCAACGAAGTCCGTGGCTCAAGCGACCTCCATGCGCTCCTGGACGAGGCCAAAGTATGCACAATTGCCGGCCTGATTAGGCCCAAATTATTTGTGAGATAATGCCTAATAAGTTGCAGTGATTTTCATGGTTAACCGATTCGATTGCTGATAGATATTGGCACCTGGCTGATCGTTTCTGCGAATTCACCAAACTTGTGCCAGAAATCGTAATAAGCATGACGGCACACTGTTTTTGCTGAAGTTCGAATATACTCAACGGATCGCGACCCCGGCCTAACTGTCAAGTTGTAGAGGTACATGGTCTCTTTCCGGATAATAATATTCATAATTAGCATCTAGTCGTCAATAAAACTCTTAATGATAATATCATACATCATGAAGAACGGGTCGACCACAGGCTTCGTCGTTTTCCCTCCGCTGATTCATTTTACTCCAAACATCTTTAAGGCACAACTTTTCACCAAAGCCGTTTACACCTACCCCACTGCGTAATGGCTTTTTCAGGCCCCACCAATATACTTTACTGGTTTATATGCAGGTTGTCACGGGATGTCAGTATCTGTTATACCTGTTCTTGACCTGCTACTGAGACACTGGTGTACGTGGGGTTAATCAGAGCAGGAACATGGTCCTGGTTCCAGGAACGACGCTAACCACTCAGTGCACATCAGCCGGCCGTCGAAACGAGACTGGACCTTAACGTGGTGCGACTGTTTGCGTACCTCATTGACCCATTGAGCTATACTGGATGATGTCTCCGGGTACCTTGAGAGCTACTCCTACCAGGTTGGTCAATGGTGAGAGGTCAGACAAACTCAGTGTTCTGGTCCTCCTGCTTGGGGGTTTGAAATGGGATGGTGTCCGTTTCTGTAAAACTAAGTCATTGCTACCTCCCCGCTGCCTTGCGGACAGGCTTCTGAGCAAAGGGTTTGGATGAGGACCCTAATCGTCCTCCTGTCTAGGTCTGGGCGCCCATATACAACCATGACACTCTTCAAACATAAACTTCATCCTGCATCGGCCGTCGCGCAGATTATCAAGGGTCGCCTTATCTTCTGCATACAGCAGGGCGGATAAGCAAAAACATACTACTGCTGGCGCCTCCCTTCTTTCTTTTCCACCTTTTACTCCCATTCCGGCCCCCATTACTAACCTTCCTTCTATAATTCCCAGCTTAATTGACAGCAACCGAAGTGCCACTGGAGTAAAACCATCTGCAGCCACCAACCAACCGCACCTATCGGACGCCTACCGGCTAAAATCCCTTATAAGGCCACGCTATCCCGTTTCCATGACGACGTTCAACGTTCGCGCTCTAAGACAAACAGGTCAACAGGCTGCACTCGCATGCACCTTGGACACACTGGGTATTGATGTGCGTTATGTGTCCGAAATCAATGACCCTAACGGGGTTGTTGAATTAACTGCATCCGGCTTATCCTCTTGTTATTCGTTGCACGCATCCGGAGACGCTGATGCAGCACTCACGGGTCAAGCTGGTGTGTGTATCATCCCAATCCCCAAGGCTGAGCCATTGTTGGTTGATTGGATTCAGGTGAACAGCCGTTTATGTGCAGGTCGCCTGGCGACATCAGCTAAGGTTGATCCACGAAGTAATACAAAACGCTGTTTGTTTGTGCTTTCTGTTTATGCTCCCACTGACTGCAGATCTAATGCTGTCAAAGACAAATTCTATCACGAACTTAACGCGCTACTACGCAGTGCTACTTGTTCAGATATTATAGTATTTACAGGCGATATGAACGCATAAGTAGGGCGTCTGTGCTCTTCAGAAGCTCAGCTTGGTGGTCATTATGGGTTTAACTCTGAGCCGACTGACAACGGCGAGCGTCTGCTGCAACTGTGTGCGGAGCACCAGTTGTTTTTTAGTAGCACTGCTTTTAGACACAGTGGGCGCCGAAGTGCCACATGGCGTCCTCCTGTAGCTGGCCACCGATGGACCCAAATTGACCAAATAGCCATAGGTTACCGGTGGCGTGGTGCCATCTCTGATTGCCGCTCGTACTGGAGTATCTGTGTCGACTCTGATCATGCCTTGGTACGCTGTCGTTTCTTCGTGAACCTAACCTGGAGGCGCACCAGGCGTCCCCTACGATTGTCAACGGAGAAATTGTCTCAGTCCTCGGTCAGGCGCGCCTATCAAGAATCACTGTATACCGAACTTCCGCTGTCTTGTCCTAATGACACTGAGCTTCAGTGGAATAGGATCTCGGCCGCCATGCACGACGTAGGAGCATATGTTCGTGGCACTATCCATCGTCACACACCAGTCACTGGATATCCAAGAGGTCGGTGAACACAACAAAAATCGATTGCTCACAGAACCTTCTGCATTAACGACTTCCAGATCAGTTTCAGTCTTATTTCAGCACACTAAGTGGTGGCGCCGAGTTTCAAACAGTGAGATTCTTGTTGCCACTGACCTCCGACTTCGCAATCCGCGACCGGTTTCATCTTTGTGTACACTCCCCAATGGCAATGGGAATCTTCTTGGCTTGGCTCAATTTACTCCTGTTCCTCCGTCTTGTGCCCGTAGTCGGCATCTTCGTTCTCATGTTCACTGTCGTCCTGAAGTCCTTCCTCAAGTTCTCCGTGGTCTTCTTCCTCTTTATCGTGGCGTTCACTTTCGGATTCCATACACTTCTCGTAAACCACATCGCCTTCAGTGAAGTGGGCATGTCGTTGCTGAAAACGTTTGTGATGATGCTTGGTGAATTTGAATATCAGTCGGTTAGTTGGTCACAATCCACTCTACTTAGAAACTGATCGCTTCCCACTTGATTGACTTGATTGCCGTTACACTCTACAACATCTGGTAGCTGTTAGATTCGGTTTTTACTCGAGCTTACCTACTTGCGTCATCCCACTTTTTCTGCCCTGTATGGGTCCGACATTAAACTTGAGGTTACTGTTACTCGGGTTTATTTTAATGGCACTGCGACTGAAGACTAACACGTAATAGCTGGCAGCAGCTAATACAAGTTTCCTGTATTGTAGTCCAGGCAAGCAGAGGAAGTCTGGTTAGCAAGCAGTTTTATCAATCAATTGACTCACAGTACATAACTCACAGAGTCTGTGTTGTAAGTTTCGGAGTGTGAGGGGTGATTAGCTAGCAAACCGATACTCAAATTCCACCTTAGTTGCGACGAAATTGCACTTGTGACTGTCGTGCGGATTGCAAAAGTGCGGTGGTGAATTTTCTGGGTGGTGTGCACTAGCTGACCCTAGCGGTTCAATGATTCGACAATTGAGCTTTTGCATGTATTGGATCCGTTGTAATGCGCCGCTCTGTCAACGACTAGCTTGTTCGTTTTGCATTGATTGATAGTGATGGATGTGGGTCCGCGCAACCCAGACGTACATGCGTTGCAGTGTCTCCCACACTTACATGTTCGTGTGTCATCTACATTCATACTGAACTTCAGTGGCTGTTCACAAATAGCTCATTTGTACCATAGCGCCGTCGATACCCACAGAATGGGTTGTAGTATGGATGCAAAAATAGAGAACTAGAAGGTACTGGAGTTGATATTCGTAGATGGTATGTTGGGCAAACAACCGTTGTACAGCCTCCTAGGGAGTACCAAATGTTGCTGAGTTTGAATGCATGGAACGTTGCCAACAAGAAAAGTTGAGGATCGATGACCAACATCTTAACGAAGCAGACGGTGTTCAAAGCTCGAGGCATTTTTGTGTGCAAATGTCTTGCTCCAGAACCGTCTGAACCCCTTAGCATCCGGATAGTGATGCCATATTTACGGGATTGGTATTCTTCTGTATATATGGCAAAGGAGATACATTTTATAGCGGCTGAATCGAAACGAAGAAGAAAACTTCTTTCATATGATGATGCCTCCGATCATTTCGAAAACCTCTGTCAGCACAGTCGTAATCCGCTACACTCGCGAGCATAAAGTACACGTCGAATGTTCGGATTGTAACGGATAGCTTCGTGTGTGATTTTTTTTCACATTGACCTATCGTGAGATCAATCCAATTGGAGCAGTCATACAGGAAGCGGGGAGAGTATATGTATTCATCGTAAACTATATAACTCTCCAATATCGGTTGCTTAACTGTTGGGGAATCCAGATGGACGTAACCGTTGAACAAACCGTGGATTCGGAGAGCTCGTAGCACACAAGGGTTGTGACAGAGCATTTCAACTTGAAGAGCAAAACCAAAACTCAAAATCGTCATGCATCGCAGAGCTGAGATAAACCAACAGCTAACATTTATCGACCTTAAATAAGATTTCACTGAGCGATTTGACCTGGGCTTGTTTCAAACTGGCTAGTGGGTGAAATTGTGATTGTGTAGCAATCCAGACAAACACCGAGTGCTCCAAATGCCAGTAATAATTTTCCAATCGGCATCATACGCGTTGGACGCGGAGCTGGGCAGCAAAATGGTTAAGGTCGCTACTGGCGATCTGTGCATTCAGAGTCTCAACTTACTCGCGGCTATCCATGCTTGCAGATAGCAAACTAATGGGGGGAGGGCGAAATGACATCAATTACTCATTTGGGGTTGTCATAAATTGCACCCGGCATCAGATAGGAGCAACGCCTACAGCAGATGTGGCATGACAAAATTTCCAGATCTATGTCTCATCACAACAACTCCCAGTTCGATGTGACTGGATGCATTAGAGAGCGTATGAAACCCCCTACTCCAACCCAAATACCCTTCGCCAGACCAGGGTTGGGCAGGGTGGGGGTCAATACAGAAGCGAAGACAGAAAATGTTGCTATTCCACCCACCCAAACAATTCTTATTACTGTGGTGGAGTGCAACGTTAACTCGAAAGCATATCCGACTCCTTCGAAACTAATACGAGGGAAATATGGTGTGCAGACAAAACATTTGTTGAGGCTACCCCACTTCATTAAGTTTTTTGCAGGAGGAAGAGAGGCTACATTCACTTTTAACTGATCACCTTTCGCATTTCTCTATACAAGGAGAACAATAGTTTTTCTAGAACGCAAGAGGATCAACGAAGTTTATCCACTAGTGCGTTCTGTCTCTTTCGGGGGTACAAATATTTTTGAGTCCGCATCGATTGCGTTGATTAGGACAATCGCAACGATCAGACCGTCATATTGAAGTGGCTACAGAAATTCTTTTCGAAACATGACAGATATCTATGGCGAGTCAAGGTTGTTGTAACAACAGCAGCACAAATTAACGTCCGCACTCACCAAATAATCTCTGGTTCTTCCATTTGCTTATATTTTGCTGGAAGTGTCCATTCGCTTGACCAAATCGTGAGTAGCATTACGTAGTTGCTGTACGAACCCAGTGGCCTCGGTATTTTCTAATCTTGGTATAAGCGGCACGAGGACCTATTCGCCGTTGACCTGGCTTGACAGGACGGAGTGTGGAAGGTCCGGCAGTTTCTCTATGAACTGGGCAACTGCGAACATCAGCGGTACACCGATTTCATTCTGCCAAGAAACCCTAGAGACCTTACTTTTGGCAAGATCGTCCGGACGTTGTCGCAGATTTTCGGTGAACACACCTCGCTGTTCAGCACACGGTTTTAATGCCTCCAGTTTACTAAGTGTGATGCTGACGGCTTCATCACTTACGCAGACATCGTCAACTGTGAATGCGAATGTTTTCAGTTTGGTCACTCACGGAGGAACAGTTCAAATTCCTGGTTTTAATCTCTGGTCCCCGGTCCGCACATGATGGCGATATCCAGATGCATCTTCCAACCAAGCTACAATAAAACTGCAGCGTCACAACCCAGAAGCTGACAAGGGAGTACGAAATGCTGCATAATGTGAAACATGGCTCCGCGATTAATCAGAGGGCCTCTGCACCTGATCTGGTCCAAGCAGTTTCATCATCTAATCCGCAGTCTCCTGCGCGGCATATCCAACCCAACAAAGCGAAGTCACCAACATGTCTGTGCTGATTCTGCGGTATCAAGCATTTTCACCGACAGTGCAAATTCCGCTAGCACCGACGTTAGCGCTGTGGCACGGTGGGGTGCCGTGATGGTTAGCGCAACCCCACACCATCCGAGGGGGCCAAATCTGGACTGCTTCCCAAGTTGCGATTCAAAGAAGGCGTTCCGAATGAGCTGCAAAGCCACACCGAGTCCGGTGGGCTACTCCATGTGCTTTCAATCCACCTTCCAATTCAATCAGTGGATTTCAGGAAAATCGTCCATGTTTTGATTAACAGTCGATCATTCCGATTGTAGTTGGAAGTCGTCTCTAGCATTATGAGTATCTAGGAGAGCCTCTGGCGATCAATTTGCAAACCACCATTTGAGTCAATCCTGCAATCCATTACCAGTGTCTGTGGTAGTCGCACGCAGCCAGCTGGACAGCTGCATTACCCAGTCTGCCTTCTGGACGAGACCTGTAACAGCACGAAGGTAAGCACAACCAATTTGGAGTCGGTTGGTCTGTCTGTTTCCTCAGCATCTTGTATTGTCCAACAGCACCAATTAACACAACTGACGAGATCATCAGGCAATTCGCCCCAGTGTTCCAGCATGGTCGTGGCCGTTGTTCAGACACTCGCGCCATATTACAGCGTGCACTCTAGGCTCAACCGGTATTCCGTTCCGAAAAGCCTGTTCCATAGGCAGCCTTACGGTTGGTCGATGCCGAACTCATAAAAGTAGAAAATATGCGGTCCAGGAATCCGTATCCTGCTCTGTCTTGGCTGCTCTGATCGTTGCAGTCAAGAAACCGAACGAATCCCTTCACATGTATGCCATTTTATCCACTGACCTCAGTGATGTGCTGTGGTCGAACTGCCACTTATTATTAGCTCCATCCAACCTTTTCACAAATCTCATTGGTGGCACTTGCTTCCCCAAGATCGACCTGGCAGACGCCTGCCCGCAAATCGAGGTTGCGTGTGAGTCTCAACTGCTCCTGACGATCAGCACACGCCGCGGTCCCCTCCAGTACACCAGACTGTTGTACGGTGACAAGACTGCCCAAGTCCAGTTGCAGCAAACGATGGATGCCTTGAACTCTGACATTGGGGTACGGCCGCGTACTTCGACCATCACCACATTCTTGGTCGCACCCCGGAAAAACTGCATGAGCTCCTAATGTCTATTTATGGGCATTACTAAGAGTATGGCTTCCGCCTACGAACCGAAAGCAGTCAGTTATTCTTTCGGTCGATCAGCTATCTTAGGTTCAACTTCCATGCTAATAGTCCTCATTCTGACCCCGAAAACATCCGAGCCATACTACAAGCACCGTCTCCCAAAGACATCCACTAGCTACGATCTTGCTTTGGCCTCATCAGCTAATGCAGTATCCTCTTGCAATCGTTACACGAGGTACGAGACCCGCCTACTCGGCTGGTGCAAAAGGGAAAGCACTTCCAACTGCGAGCGAGTGAACTGAGCAGATGATAGATTACATACGTGCTTCGAGCAATCAATAGGGAAAGAAGAATGTGCAAAAGGGCCTGCCTTAGCAATGATCTCCTGCATACACGATGGCTTTCCTACGTCTGAAATTCATGCTGGGTTCTAGCTTCCAACTGAACCCAACGACCCGATCTTATCAACTGTGATTGCCGTTGACGCCTCCAACTGCGGAATTGGAGCAGTCATCTCCCAGCGCTTCCCAGATAGTTCTGTGAAAGCTGTCATTCACGCATCACGCACGATGACGGCTGTCGAGAATAATTACGGTAAGATCTACAAGGAGTCCTCGGCCATCGTCTTTGCTGTTAGGAAGTACCAC